AAATGAGTAGTTTCAAAAAGTTAAATCGGAGAATTTCTTCGAGAAAATTTCTGATACGCACATGCTATTCACAAAAGAGAAAAAAAAGAGCAACATTCACGATTATTTTTGTATTTGAATAAATATTTTCTTGGAATGCAAAATCTGAGAAATAAATTTTTTTGCACCGTTGGTACGTTAAATTTCACAGAAACTAAAAAATTACCGCTTCCCTTTTTTTTTAAACGAGAAAAGTATTTTTAATCGTTATAGATTTTTTACGAAAATTGTTCGCAAAGAAATGAAAATTAATATATTTTAGTTCGCGGGCCACAAAAAAAGGTTTCGAGGGTCGGATGCGGCCCACCAGTTGGAAACCCCTGTTCTACACAATGAAATAGAAACTTGAGAGATTTTTTTCTTGAATAAAGGGAGCATCATGACATGGTAAACAATTCACTGCGAAAGTGAACGTTTTCAATGAACTTTCCTTGCCGGATCACGATTTTCCAATCCAGTGGTTTTTTATGACCTATTCACCCATTTGGCCTTTTCTTCAATAAATAAAACATAAAAAAAAACTTGAATCTTGATTAGTTGACGTAAAAAAATTTGATTGCGACCAACTACAGCCAAGACGAGAGTCTCCAAAAATAGACCGCTGCAAGGAAGAATCGATCGAAAAAAATCTTCAGATTTCTAATTCAGAACATTGATTGGTTGTTCAACTAATGTGATTTAATTTTGACTAGTCATTCTCGTATTTGCTATTCCTATGATGATGAAAGGCATGAATTGGAGAGCTGCCTCCACACTGAACTTGGACGAAAAGCGAAAGTAAGTACAACGAATATTCATATCAGTAAAATTAAGCTACCCAAAGCAGCTGATTTTTACACTAGGTTTACGGGACACGTCATTTTGACGGATTTCGACTTTTGTAAGGAAAATTATAAAACCCGTTTGAAATTTTATTTTATCTCTTGTAATGACTTTTAACCATTGATCGAAGTTAATATATATTAAATGCTATTTACCTCAAAAGCGTTTGAAATATTGAAATTCTCTATGTGGTATACCTATTTCTATGGATATGCGTCAATTTGACGCGATCATAATTTAGACAAAAGTTTAAGTAAACAAGCAATTATCACATCAATAATAAATAGGAATGTACCGACAATACTTCGATTCGTTATCTCAAATAAAACAAGTGATAAACAACTGTTGCCGATAAGCAATAATAGAAAGAACAAACGCAGAATGTCAATTGATGTCGGATTTTGAAGGTTTCAGTTGCTTAGTTCGAGTATTGAAACATAAAATATTAGAATATTTCATGAATATATATCTCATATCTTCAATTTTTTCTTATAGTATACATATACATTGGTTTCTAAGTGCAGAAATGCCAACTGCTTCGGACACGCGAAAATAATTAAAAAAATGGTAAATAACAAAGTAATTTTTGAAATATGAAGTGGTGAATTATATAAAACTACGAATTATTTAGAAATAGTGGTGGATAAAAATCTACTAAATTGAATTTATTAAATTACGAATCACAATTCTTTCATACGTCAAATTGACGTGTGTCCCTAGAGATAGGTGTATAAGAAACGTCCGTAAACCTAGTATTAATATATATATATTTTAGGATTCCACACTAATCTTTTGCAAATTAAAAACTTCCCATCGAACTGTTAAATTAACTACATATTTTTATATACTTCATAAAATAATGTCATTATACTAATTATTAAGATATAAAAATTTTAAGTTTTTGAGATTCGATGGATGCCTACTCAATGGTGACAACGGACTGCAAGAATCTAAGACAGACGAGATGGAAAAAAAAATTAAAACCAGTTTAATTGGCTGATGAAATGTGTCGCTATTTCTCTTCTATTTTTTCTTTAGCTATCAAACAATTTTCGGTGTTTCCTGTTCCGTTTTGCTCAAAAGTGTCGCTTCAATGAGCACTTAGATCGTGAAATCGGGCATCGCTCTCAGTCGTGAGCTGCGGGTTTTCAGTTCGATCCTGGCAGCCGACTGAACTACCGGTGTGTACAGCTAGCAGAGTGCACGTTAAATCTGCTCTGGTCTCGAGTTTGCTGTGGTGTGGACATTTAGGGAAATGGGTATCAGTTCAGACATTGTTCACGTCTTCTTAACGATATCAACATTGCGCGGTTTTCCAATGCTTCCTATAACTGAAAGCCTCCACACGGTTTCTTATAGGTAGTCCGATCTGACCACTGTGAAGGATATCCACTTACCGAACGAGTCACTTAATATAGAATGTAGTTAAAATAAGAGAGTGGTAGCAAATATATGACTAAAAATGTATTTTTTAATGAATATTATTGGTTTGCCTTATTCACTTGCTAACCACTAGGGATTCAATTCTGAAATATATAAGATAAATTTTTCTCATTTACTTTTATAAAAGGTTTTGGGTTCATGCGCACAACTGGTTCACTTTTTAAACTGTCTGCGCGGACTACTTATAAAAGACCGTGTGGAGGCTTCTTGATGTAGGAGGTGATGGGTTTTCCCACTAACGTCATTAAAGTATAGAGGTTGATGATGATTGAAACGTTAGATGTCGATAATGTTTTCATTTATTTTTTATTCGCTTCAATAAAAACGTTCCACCTTTAATGTATGTCGTTTTTTTAAACTTTATTTTTTTACAGTTATTCTTGAAATATATGTGGATCATTTTGAAAAACTGGCCAAAACCATACCAGAATTCCTTTTTCTTCTTTACAGGTAAATAAAATCAAAACGGTCACTACGAAAAAGAATTCATTAAGTGATATGCCAGTTGAAATGAAAGGTATACCTGACATTCTATGGATAACTGAACTCGAAAGGTAAATTTAAGTACAATATGCATCCAATTTCGAGCATAATTTAGTAATTTTGCTTGCCAAGACAACGGAACTTGACCTCGTTGCCTCACCTTTAAATAAAGGTTCGTTTAATATTGTATTTATTGATAAATAGTAAGATTTAAAAAAAAACTTTAGATAAAACTACGTTTTTCTAGTAAAATGAAGAGGAAAAGAGAAAATTTTTTTTTTCATACTTAAAACGAAAAATGTTAATTGAACCATTTTCGTAAAATAACTGGTGTAATTTTTAGCGTTATTGAATTTTTGATACTTACGTAAAATCCCGTCAACCAAAATTTGCCAAACCTAAAACTTATATGATTATTTATTTTTGCAAATAAACTGTTCCACAAATTTTTCAATCATATGCTCTGAAATATCAATTACGACATTTTTTATTAAAAGAAATGTCTTTTTGTTTTATTTCCCATTAAAAGAGCAATGGTTTCTCAAGTTAAAGAAATTTGCACCAACTTTTCTGGTAGAAGAGAATTTACACAAGCTCCAAAATATTTTTAAAAAATGGTGCCTTTTGGTGCTTTTTTAAAAAGTGCTGCCATAATTCTACATGAATATAAAAAATACGGAGGATATAAATTTTGCTTGTATAGCGGCCTGAAAATGATAGAAAATTGCATTCTAATCAGTCACGGAAACGGTCAGGCCTATCAGGCATGATCAGATAGTGGTCAAAATTTGATTGAAGGATCCCACCCTCACAGACACACCAAAACGGTATTGATATAAACAATTGATATACAAATACTTTTACTGAAATTTCTTCATCAGGACGTTGTCACACTCAAGATTTCCCAAGCATGGCATATGCAAATGATTTGAATTTCAACACCTTCATGTGAAGTTTTATGATTCATATATATAGTACGTTCGGACAGTCCTGGCCGAGCGATCCCGCGAGTTCGAATCACAAAGTAATTCGATTTCGATGTATGAAAAATTCAATGTTTAATTTAGTTCCGTACTCTATACTTCATTCTTATTTTATTTTTAAATTCCTTGTACTCATAAGTATAAAATTTAGTATAATTGCTCAATCTTTTAGGAACAACTTGATCTTATATTACTTTCTATGTTAACATAAATAGTTATTTGAAATTCAATAAAAATCAATTAGCTAAAATTTGCTGAACTTTTTTTTCCCTCCTCTGTGGAATGTTCACTACAAAAAACATTTTCCTATTTAGTTCAAATTTTACATTTAATCAGCATTTTATACTATATAAAATGTAATACTTTTCATAATAAAGAATATTACTTTTACATTTACTTTTAAACATAACTACTAAAACTTTATACAAATATATTTCTCAATTGTCTGGTTCTAGAGTTCTGACTTATTTAATGAAAAGTACCTGGTAAAATTCTTCGTTTTATTTTAATTTCTTAATCGATACGAATTTAGTTTTCTAGTGATGGATTTTTTTTTAAATGTACTTTAACAAATGAAAGAAGGTGAGTTTTTCTGATCAAGATAAAAAAAATTTAAATTAATACATAAAAACTTTCGCAATTTTCTTTAACTGTACAATTTTGAAAAAACAACTAAAATAAAATAAAGGATTATCTTGCGTTGTAAATACCATTTTATGAATAGAATTAAAATAATAGGAGGTCAAGAGCATCATAAGATCATCCCTATTAACCCTTTCGCGCCGACTGTCACAAATACGTGACAGCATTAAACTGTATCAATCAGGGTAAAAAGATAAAACTGGTAATCAAAGTATTTCTTTAGCAGTTTATTTGTGGGCGGAGTTATAATTATTTGATTTATTTAATTCACCATTACTTTGTTCAAAATAAAACCATTTAGTTATACTTTGAATTAACATTGATTATATGTATGATTAAACTATCAATAATTAAAGTAAAATCAAAGTAAGTCTGTCAAATTAGCAACGATTATATTTAAGTTACCGTTTTTTATTTAATTACAACTTGATTCTGATTTTGTACGAATGTTTTTCTGAATCACCCGTCCCCAAGGGGTTAAAGCACCCACTAATTTACAATCCAGCTGCCTTTAACGCCTCTTTTTTTTTCGGAGAACTTTGCTGTAGTTGGTCCTAATTGTAATGCATATTTCTTTTAAAATTTGTTACCTCAACAATGTCAAGAAGCAAGTTTTTTTCTTTAAATGCCTGACAGGGTGGTTAAACGCCACTGGATAAGAAAATCGCTATCCTTTTTCTTTTCGCTTTATATAAAAATAAATTGGGTACCTAGGCCGCGCAGCGGCCTCTAACCTTTACATCATGAAGTAGAACATTGTTTGAAAACATTTTGAAATTTGCAACATTATGGTAGCAAAATCTCTATCCTAATGAACACACAATAACTTTGTAATTAGCGGAAATAAGAAAGAAACTGGTTGTAAAACTATTTCATTTCTAGATTTTTTAGAAAGTAAAAAGAAAGCTATTTTTACTAATGAATTAGCTTCCAGTATTCCCATTCAAAAAACAAGATCCAGTCTTAGTCAGCCACGATCTTTCGAAAAAGTTAGATTTAGGTGCTCGGCAAGATTTATTAAAGCAAGTTATTTTGATTTTCCTCTTTTCTGGAGTACAAACAGCTTTGAAAGGCAGAAATTTTTCTATGGTTGTCACGGAAATAAGCGCGTGAAGGGAAAACAAGAAAGATGTTTAATCACCCTACGAAAACAAAGGAGACCGCGGTAGAGATCAAATAATGAGATTGTTAGAGTCCTTTAAAAAAAAAAGAGAAAAACACGAAAACTTATGAGTAGAATTAGTTCAAGAAGTCCAATTCGGACTATAGTACTAGGGAGTAAGTAGGATAGTCAATTACTGCCATATTTTGACTCTGTTGGAAAATTCTTTTAAAGTGGTAACTAAATTTATAAAAATATACATATTTTGAAATATGAGCAATTCTACAAATAAACGCCAATTAGACGGCCAAAAAAAATTTTTTTTTCGGGGGGCACACTATTTCTACATGAATTTTCATCTTTTTTACACCCTAAAAAAGCAAGAAAAAATCGTGAACATGAAATTTTTTCTTCGTGACATACTTTAAATGTGACATATTCTTTCTGACATACTCAAATAAAACTGAGCCATTTATTCAGATAAAACGATTTTTACGTAAATATAATATTATTATAATGTCTCTCTAGAATGTATTTATAGAGATTTCATACTATAAGATTATATTTTAGTATACAAAACAAAAATAAAAAAATTTAATCATAGTTCGTAAATTGAAAAAATTGGGAAAAATTTAAAATTGGTATTTTGTCATTTAAAGTATGTCACAAAGAAAAAATTTCATGTGCAATATTTTTTCTTGCTTTTTTAGGGTGTAAAAAAGAAAAAAATTTATGTAGAAATAGTGTGCCCCCCAAAAAAATTTTAATTTTTTTTTGGCCGCCTAATTGGCGTTTATTTGTAGAATTGCTCATATATATATACAGGTGGTTATCAAAATAATGGAAACACCCTAGATTTTGAAGGCTTGGGAATTGCTGTTCTGCCGTAAATGTTNAAGCAGCTATGAAGTAAATAATATTATATTTATGTAAAAATCGTTTTATCTGAATAAATGGCTCAGATTTATCTGAGTATGTCAGAAAGAGTATGTCATATTTAAAGTATGTGACAAAGAAAAAAATTCATGTTCACGATTTTTTCTTGCCTTTTTAGGGTGTAAAAAAGAAGAAAATTCATGTAGAAATAGTTCCCCCCCCCCAAATATTTTTTTTTTTTGCCGCTTAATTTATGTTTATTTGTAGAATTGCTCATATATATATCTGATAAAAAAAAATTTCGTTTATTTTTGTTTATCGGAGTGGGAAACTTCAAAACTGATTTTATAAAACTAAATTTGAAGTTAACTTTATGAAATTTTAAGTCGAGTCTCCACTCTTTACCCTTCACCAGTTTGTGGCTACCCTACGTGCACAAACATGTCTGCAGAGGTCTCAGCAAATGATAAAGAAATTTTAGTTTTGAAAATGCATTGTCTTAATAGTTTAAGGTCACTTTGATAAAAAAAGCGAACTTTTATAGCACAAGAAGTGGGTTAGTAAAATAAATAATACTACTTTCTGTAAAATCATTTCTCCTTGCAAATTTATAAGTATTAATATTTTAGAGTGTTTGGTTTCCCGATGCACTACACAGACGTTGGAAATCTTTCGCCAACCAAAAGACAAGAACTTCTTGGAAGATCCTGGAGTGTTCCAGTCATCACGCAAATCCTCAACCCCTTACAAAAACTGTTCAAGAAATCATCTGTTTAATTTTATTCTGATCTTATCTTACTTTACGATCTTATTTTTCTCTTATCTTATGATCTTATTTTTATTTTTCTCGTTTGAAATATCTTTTCTAAAATCTGATTTAATATGTGTCATTTTTCAAATAAACTCACTTCATTTTGAGTTCTTTATTAAACTTGATACCGTGCATAAACACTCAAACTTTCGATTGCAAACTTCTGATATTTCGAGAGGGCATTTAATAAATAAAAGAACATTTCACTTATTACATTATTATTATAAAATGTAACAAAACATAAATTAAATTTCTTTTAGTATGTTTTTAAAAAAATTTCAAAATGAAATCTCTCTTTAATTTAAAAAAAAAAAAAAAAAACTCTGGTTTTGATCAAACAAAAATGATTTTCGCTTGATTTACACCCAGCTTAAGATTGATGGATGCCAGGTCGAGAATTTAGAATTTTTATACTTGTCCATCAAAATGTCTTGTCTGAAATTGTTTGGTCCTTCAGAATTTTTCCAATTCTAGACAATTTGAAAATTTTTTTAACTCAACAAAGTTCAAACAACTTCAAAATTTTTCAAAGTTTAAACTTCTGCTAATTCTCATATAACCGCTTTTCTTTTGCGACTTTTTTTTCTGTCAAATTGTCCCGATTTCGAAAACTTTTTCATATTCTGAAAAAAAATTGTAGTAATTTTTAAATTGTTTGCTATTAGAAAAATTCTGAACTTCGAAAATTTTTGAAGTAGAAGAAAAGAAAACAGGCTTATAAATATCAGAAAGTTGGACTTAGAATGATTCTAATGTTATTTTAACTAAGTTATTTTCTTGAATTTAAAAAAAAAGTGCACTTGAAAATTTTTGAATTGTCTAGATTTAGGAATTTTTTTTTAACTTGAAAAAAAATTATTTGTACTTAAAATTGTCAAATTGTTAAGATTTAAAAAAAAAATTCAAACTATTTGGATTTAGAAACATTTTTAAGTTACTTGGATTTAGAAAACCCATGAGGATTATAGAACTAAGAAAATTTCTTGAAGTTAAAATAAAAATTATACCTAGAAAATTTATAAAAATTGTCTAGATTTAGAAAATGTTTTTAAATTTAGAAACGAAATTGTTTATTCTCAGATAAATTTTAGCGTCGTTTAAACTTAGAAATATTCTTTAGTTTCTTGAACATAGAAAATGTTTGAAATTAGAGAAAAAACGGGTATATACTTAGAAAAATTTTCAAATTGTTTCGACTAAGAAAAATTCTAAAGTTATTGAAGTAAGGAAACTTCTAGAATTTAAAAAATATTGCACTTCTAAAATTTTTTGGTAATTTTAGACTCAGAAAATTTTTTCCACTTAAAAATTTTTTATTTACGAAATTTTCCATGTTATTTGAACATACTATGTAGCCTTAATGGTAATTTTAATATCAAAGGAAAATTCAAAACAATAAAAAAAAAAGAAATTCGCCTATTTAACTGTAATAGATTTTTTCCTTTCCTGCAAAATATTATCATCTAAAAATATTTATTTATTTTCTTCAAAAATTCAAAATAAATAAATCTTTTGAGCAACAAAATAATAGGCAATGGCAGAAAGACATCTATTTCTATGTGAGTGGAAGAAATTCAACACAATGACAAATTAGTCTTCACATAGAACAGCGGTTCTTAACCTATGGGTCGCGACCCAAAATTGGGTCGCGAAGCATATTTCTTGGGTCGCGCTGAGTCGAACCAAAAAAGTTAGTAATACACCAAATAATAAGTAATACCTCCTAGAAGAAGTCATTGTGGCTTACTCAGCCTAATTTTGACTTCTTTTTGGGTCGCGACATGAACATATTTCTCAAATTTGGGTCGCGGCTTAAAACGGTTAAGAACCACTGACATAGAACATTGATTGAATTACTACAACAAATAACTACGAGGGAAATAAAGGACACGCCTTCATGTAAAGATATTGAGAGAGTCGATTCGTAACCTTGAAGGTCACGGTCGAAAAAGAAACCGAAAGTTATTAGGGGGCCAATGGCGTAAAGAGGTGCCGGGATTCTCGAAGTAAACTACTTGATTAGATGTTCCCCAAAGGACGATTGTAATTAATGCAGTAAATACAGTAGTCGGAAAAAAGAGAAGAAAAAAATTGGAGCATTTTTATATTAATGTAGGCCGTAGTTACACTATAGTGAGCAATTCACTATTTCAAAAAAATATTCTGAATTTTTCATTAAATGTATAAAATACATAAATTTAATGATCCCTAAAACTTTATTACTAAACTTCATTATTAAATCCCATTCATAAAATATTTTGCTTAACCCAAACATCCATTAGATAGTTTCCTAATAAAAATAATAGCCATGTAATTAGTCTTAGAGTCCATAATCGACAACTTTATGCTTCCTTAGGCTGAAAGTTAAGAATTGTTTCTCCTTTTTTCAAGAAAAAAATAAATAAATATTTACATATTATTTCACTACCCTTCTTCTCAGTACTATTTTACTACGCCTTCATGCTTCGGCATAAGTTCAGCATTTTAAAGTAGATGAAGTAAAAAAGGATTAAAGATTGGAAGAAACAATATAGTGTTTGACAAGTGTTTAAATATAGCTTGAATTCGCATACTAAATATAGTTTTAACAATTTTAACAACCTCTTCTCATAAGGGAATAATAAGCTAAAATATTTATTGTCTTAAAAAAAGAAAGAAAAAAAAAATGCGAAAGAGAGAGAATAAGACCGAGGAGATAAGAAGGGAGACAATAAGACTCGTATTTTGTAGGAAATTTTTTTCTATTTTACATGTAGGAAATATGTATCAATATCAAAATTTGGAAAAATATTTGAATGCTTCTACTTTTTGTATCACAGAAGAAAAAAAAATTAAAACAAGGAAAATGCAATTATGAGCAACCTGCCCTCACCCCCCATATGCCCTGGGCTGGATTACCCATTAGGCCATGGCCTGGGGCCCTAAATGATTAGGGGCCTCCTTAAAATGGATTTTTTGAAAATAAATTAAGAATAACAATGATTTTTTCAAAATGTTCTGATTTGTTTTAGTTCTAATTTAATAAAATAAAGTAAAATTTAATTTACTATTATCTTCTTTTTTAAACATGCTTTCTTAAATGAAAAGATATATAAATACTTTTATATTTGAATAAATAAAAAAATATACGAGAAAAAAATTTAATCTAAGGGCCCCAAAAATTTGAATGGCCTAGGGCCCCGCTTACGCTTAATCCAGCCCTGCATATGCCCGAGCATCAAAAGGGCAGGGGGGACAGGTCACCACGTATCCGACATTCCTGCAAATAAACTTAAATTGCAAACTAGCAGGCAAGGCTATCACAAAATTCTTGCCAATTTTTAAATACAAATTTGCTCAAAAATACTAACCTGTTTCATCTGTTCCAAAATACTAGGCTGTGACAAAATACTAGCTGTGGTAAAAATAACAGGCTGTTCCGATATGGCATGTTTAAAATATTAGGTGGTAGTTTTATTAATAATAGGTTGTTAAGACACAGAGGTAGAACCACAAGGGGGGGGGGCTAGCAGTATACTATCCGTAATTTAATTTTTTTTTTAATTTAAACCTTAGAAACTCTACTTTTTATTAAGAAATTTAAGACACCCTAAATGTATTTGCAGGATGATCATTTCCTTAGGAGAGAAATAAAAAAAAGAGGCATATAATGATTTACTTCGGACGCAAAATAATTTTAACGAAACGAAATTTGAGTACTATTATTAATTTATGATTGGAATTAATATTTAAGTTTATAGAGCGACATTTAGTTTTATTGGAACTAAATTTAATGACTTCTATTACAGCTCTTTTATTTTTTAAACTATGAAAACACAGAAATTGAGACTTACTATGATTTCACATATACGTTACAAAACTTATCGTATGCTACTCACGTCCCGCAGTGGACTGATCGTTAAATTCTACTACACGGTTCCCATTAGATCACCGAAGTCAAGCATCCCTGGCTGCCGTCCGTGTGCGGGTAGGTGACCACTTGGATCAGTCTGCGTAGGGACCGAGGGTGTGCGGTATGGGTCCTCGTTAAACTATTCTACCGTAAAGCGCTCGAATTCGAGTGCAGGTCGTCGGGCTACCGAAGCGGGAGTGCCATCCCCTCTCCAGATGATGAAAATTGTGATGGCATGTCTTCGGATCATCCTCAGGGATGCTTCCCAAACCGTCGCCAATAGCCCATTATGCAGCTCTAGTGTGACATAAATGAACTACAACGTATGCTACTCACGCGAGATGTTTTTAATTCTTGCTGATACAAGTAAATCGTTTTTTAAAGTCTATAAATTGCTTTTAAGTCTTGAAATATCATGCTCACACTTATAGGGAGGGAAAAAAAAGACTGTTGAGAAAATTTTGTTCTATTGATCGGATTTTCACGTTTTAAGTGCTATCTATAATAAGTCAAATTCTTTGACTAAACCGATCTTTTGTTGGATGAATTTGGGTTATTTGTTTTTTCTTTTAATTCTATTTAGGCTCGTAAATTTTACTTTTTACGTATTCCATGTAAAAAAAAAAAAGTTTAAACGAATTAAAAAAATTTTATTCATTTTTATAAAATTTGTTTAACTAAGGTAAATACAAAGTAATCTTTTCGAAATTATTTCTTAATTTATATAATTTTGTTTAATAATGGTTGAAACAATTTTGAATACCAAGGCACATTAACTCATGTATAATTTTAAATTATGTAATTTTAAATGACGCAAAGCAAAATTCGAATGAAGTCATGTCTTTTTGAAATTTTTTAACTTAGAAACGATTTGATCAATAATGATCAAATTTTGCATTTTAAAATTACACAGTTAAAATGATGTAAAATTTACATAGCTTAAATTTTAGTTTTCTTCTAATTATAAATAACAAACAATAATAGATAATTATTTAAAATTAATTTTTGCATTCAATTTTCTTTAAATAAATACATTTTTTAATTGTGTGATCAATACTTCCAACTTAAAATTTCTTGAGATATGGCGATTAACTGAAATAAATGTGAATAATAATACTAATTGTACTTAAACTTAGGATTTAGACGACCACTTTTTTGCTTAAACTGTAGGGA